ACTTCTCTTTACAAGGTTGGCTCAGGGGTCCACCTGCCCTGCCTTAGCAAGCAAAAGCTCAGCGCTCACATCTAACCCTGAAGGCTGGAATCAGACACAGAAGAGCCCCACTCACAGTACGAACAGCAGCCGGCTGGCTTTACAGCAGTGTAACGCATCGAGGGTTTAACCTGGCCCCTCCGCCCTGCGCTGCATCAGGCACACGGATTCCTTCCACTCGGATAAGCCCAGCGAGCTGAGCAGAAAGGCTGGCTGGCTTTGGTTTTGTTTTCTGGAGGGGGAGGAGGTGGCAGGTGGGGAGCGATGCCGGGTGGAGGGGAGGTTACACACAGGAGGGACACCCCAGCTCGCACCCAGGGCTGCAGGTGCCACTGGGAGCAGGGCAGGTGCCTGAGCCATTGTGCACAGGGGATGGGGGCACTGCATGTCGTTGCGGGGGAGGAGAGGAAAAGAGGGTCAGTTATGTAACCTCGTGGGCAGGAGGAGGCGAGTCCCGGGAGGCTACACATGGGAGGGGTGCCTCAGCTCGCACCCCGGGCTGCAGGTGCTGCAGGGGGCAGGGCGGGACCCCGATCGGGTCCAAAAGTACCTTAAAACCTTCTCCTGGATGAAAGTATATCCCATGCAAAGTTTGGTTGTGGTAGCTCTTAAGGTGTCCAAGTTATTAGAGCACAAACTTACAAACATTCTCCTTTATATATCAGATATAGCACCTTTATATAGGAACTAGCCAATTAGCCCGTCATAAAATGGGATTTTCAGGTCTCTCCTCCATGTCCTATTCCCTTTCTATCCCCGTCTTGTCTCCTGAGCCTCCGGTCTCTCGCTCTGTCTCTCTCTCTCTCCCCTCCTCCTACTGCCTTCCCCCCTCTCTCTCAGCTCTCCTCCCTCTCCTGCCTCTCTTTCCGTCTCTTTCTCTTCTCCCCCTCCTACCTCTTACTCTCTTTCTCTTCTCCCCCTCCTACCTCTTACTCTCTTTCTCTTCTCCTCCTCCTCCTGCATGGGGAGCGCGGAGCCCAAACGGCTGTTTGCACCACTTGCTTCTGCACGGCAGCCTGGCTGAGCGGCTGCCTATGAGCTCCAGCTGCCCTCCTGCACCGTTTCCCTTCACCCCAGCACTGATCCTGCAGCCTCCCAGTTGTCCTCCCCCTCGTTCCCCCACCCTTCCCCTGGCCAGGGTCTACTTTCAGCCTGGGGGAGCAAGCAGCGCAAGTGGCCATTTGGGTGCTGTGGTCCCCATGCAGCATGGTGGGAGGCAACAGCACCCCCCAAAGGCAACACATAATGCTACATCATTACGGAGTCACAAATATTGGGCTACTATATATATGATACCTACATGCACTCTAGGACTAGTTCCAGTTCAAGTATTTTGGTAATAAATAAACCTTGATGGAAAATCTTCAGCACAATCATTTTCCATCTGTTGAAGTTAAAACACTTTGCAAGATTGTGACAATGTTTGTCATAAATTTCCTTTCAGAGAATAACAAAGCCTGTCTCACATGTTGTCAGCACCACCACAATTAAGTCAGTTTTACTTTTTTATTGTTGCAAACATTCTGTGAGATAAAAAACAAATAAACCACAGCTCGGCTTTCAGACAGCAGGATGGGGTCAATTTTTGAACTGATCACGTCCCTCTGCATCCTTTTCCTTTTCCTCCCTTCCGTCAGTGGGGAACAAGGAAGACCAAGGGGTTGTTTTTTGATAATTATCACACCTCCAGCCCAGTGGAACCAGCAAAGGCAAATATCTCAATTCACTTGAAGCCCCTCGTGGATTGTAGCCTCTAGAGAAGATGCTTGCTTCATGTTATATATAAATATGCTGAAATGTAAAGAGCCGAAAAATCCATTGCCTAAAACCAACTTTTACAACAGTCAAGCAAAGGTGGTAAAATATGAAGTAAACTCAGACAGCTCCGAGACAAGCTAGATATAAAGTAGGATATAATCCCAGGTATTGTTAACGGTTGTTAACGGTTCTAAATCCTGCTGGAAAGGGATAACAAGTGGAGTTCCTCAAGGGTCTGTTTTGGGACCCGTACTGTTTAATATCTTCATCAATGATGTAGATATTGGGATAGAGAGTACGCTTATTAAGTTTGCAGATGATACCAAACTGGGTGGGGTTGCGACTTCTTTGGAGGATAGGGACATAATTCAAAATGACCTTAGCAAGTTAGAGAAATGGTCAGAGGTAAACAGGATGAGGTTTAATAAAGAGAAATGCAAAGTGCTCCACTTAAGAAGGAACAATCAGTTCCATACATACAAGACGGGAAGCGACTGTCTAGGAAGGAGCATGGCAGAAAGGGATCTAGGGGTCATAGTGGACCACAAGTTGAATATGAGTCAACAGTGTGATGCTGTTGCAAAAAAAGCAAATATGATTCTAGGTTGTATCAACAGGTGTGTTGTAAGCAAAACTCGTGAAGTCATTCTGCCGCTCTACTCTGCACTAGTTAGGCCTCAGCTGGAGTACTGTGTCCAGTTCTGGGCGCCACATTTCAAGAAAGATGTGGAGAAATTGGAAAGGGTACAGAGAAGAGCAACAAGAATAATTAAAGGTTTAGAGAACATGACCGATGAAGCCAGGCTTCATGAACTGGGCTTGTTTAGTTTGGAAAAAAGAAGATTAAGGGGGGACATGATAGCGGTTTTCAAATATCTAAAAGGGTGTCACAAGGAGGAAGGAGAAAATTTGTTCCTCTTGGTTTCTGAGGACAGGACAAGGAGTAATGGGCTTAAAGTGCAGCAGGGGAGGTTTAGATTGGACATTAGGAAAAAATTCCTAACTGTCAGGGTGGTCAAATATTGGAATAAATTGCCGAGGGAGGTGGTGGAATCTCCCTCTCTGGAGATATTTAAGAACAGGTTAGATAGACATCTGTCAGGGATGGTGTAGGTGGAACTTGGTCCTGCCTTGAGGGCGGGGGGCTGGACTCGATGACCTCTTGAGGTCCCTTCCAGTCCTATTATTCTATGATTCTATGATTCTATGTTGTAAACAGTTTGGTTTTAATTGCTTTTTACAAGTGTTTCAGAGAAAACGATAATAATTTGAAAAATGCTGCCTATATCGATCGTTATTGGCATAGCATTTAAGTAGCTGTTAATTAACAAGCTGCTTAATATTAAATGCCCAACAAGAAAATAGAAAATATTTAAGTGGATTTAATGCTAAATAATTAAGGGATGCCATTGGATGCGATTATAAAAACAAGTAGCATGGTGATTTGAAGCAGACACACCCCTCCATCATCGAGGTACGGTTGGCAAAAGGACAATACATCCATTTCTCCCACCCAAGGAGGGATTACCCCGGATGCATCTCACAATGTGAGTATAAATGCATTGGATGTATATGAATGCCTGTTTCCTTTAACTACAATCTTTAATTTGGGCACTCTCTCTGTCATTCACAGTTCTCCCCTGAATTCAGTTTCCTGTAGCTGCCCCTTGCAGACTTGATCCCTAAAGAGGACAGTTTGGGTACGTCTACACAGCAAAGTTATTTCGGAATAAAGGATGTTATTGTGAAATAACTATGCGAGCGTCTACACAGCAATTCCATTATTTTGAAATAATTGCGAAATAACAGCGAGCTTATTTTGAAATCTGTAAATCTCATTCCACGAGGAATAACACTGCTTCTGAAATAGCTTATTTTGGAATAGCTTTGGAATAGTGCAGATGCTCTACTGCTGCTGTTTCCAAATAGCTCCTCCCCAGGGCCATTCAAAGCAATTACTCCCCACTGCCTCCTCGGGCTCTAATTCAAGGTAGCGCATTCACACTAGGAGAGTCTGCCTCAGACTAATTTTGCTTCCTTGTAGTGTAGACCTGCTATTTTGAAATTAGCTATTTTGGAAAAAAAATTCTGAAATAGCTTATTTCGAAGTAAGCGTGCCGTGTAGACATACCCTTTGGTTTTATTCCTTATCTTTAAAGTACTAACTGGGAACACATAAAACAAAGGCTACAGAATGGCATTGGCAATGGGGGACTGGTGGTTGTGTCTACACACAGAAGCCTTAATTCTGATCTTACGTGTGTCCATGTGAATCTGGAATAGCTCCATTTACAGGTGATCCCCGACTTACGACCCCCTACATTTACAACCATTTTTTCATGCAAGATAGTTCCTAAACTCCCCCCGCCCCCGTTAACATCTGCAGCTTGCATTTACGACGGCATATTACGCAGACTCCACAAGTCATCCCAAAACAGGAAAAGCCCAAGGTCAGTCAGACTCGCCAGTCTGCAGCTGCTGCTCAAACTGTGAGCATCTCCACCACATCGGCCTTCCCTTTTTAGTTATTTTTGTGCATTATTTGAACTATTTAGTTTCATTTTCCTCCATTTCCTCAGTCAATTTTGATATTTTTAGGGTATGAAATGGGTTTCCAGGAATGGAACCGCCATTTATAACATTGTGCCTATGGGAAATCAGGGTTCGACTTACAATGCTTCTCCAGGAACAATTAGATTGTAAGTGCAGGGGTCGCCTGTACTTCAGTGGAGTTGCTCTGGATTTACCCCAAATCTGGCCAGAGATCAGCACCTGAGTCTGAACTGGGTCACAGCCCAGAGCCCAGAACAGGGATCTGCCAGTGTGCTGATCTTCAGCTCTTTCACTGCTGTTCTTTCAAAAGACACGCAGCCAGGAATACCAAGGATTGGAGAGAATTCAGCTCTCGGCATCGGCCCATGTCAAGAGCAGTGCCCGGGGCCAGCCCTGTGCCATGGGGAAGTCTGCTGCCTTGAGGGAGGGCTTCCCAGGGAAGCAGGTGACTCAGCAGGTGCTGAGTCTGGGTCTCCCAACGCTACCCCATTGCAGCTGGCCTGTTTAGAAAGGGGGCGACTGTAAACATCCTGTCCCACAGCCCAGCCCCTTGTGCCTTTCTCTGCAGCACCTGATCTCCTGCAGGCAGGACGCGGAAACCCCTGGGGCTCCGTTCCCTACCCACAGCGC